AAGTTATGGTGTTACCTGAATATGGTTTTTAAAACAAAATATATAATAATATATCAAATAACTATCAATTCTAATAAATTCGCCATTTCCTTTTTAATAAAGAAGTTAGTCATAACAAATCAAACTATATATTGGCTTCTATATGTATATATAACAAAATTAACTAATTTTATTTAAATGTCCCAAGACCTTGCATCGTGATACTAATCAAATGATATATCTACATTCTCAAAAGTAATTAACAATTCAAATTACAAAATTATCTAAATAAAACTAAAAAGTTTGAGGAAGAGTTCTTAAAATGATTTAAAGCTTCCAATCACAAGTACCAATCAAATGATAACTCTTTTTATATGAAACACAAGTGATGTTAATAAGCCACGAAAATATCATATTTCTTGTTCTTGGTTACAGTATGTTCGTTCTTCCATTGGTAATATAGTTGAGAAATGCATTCAAGAATTTAAGAAATTTTCTATCACCCAAACTGCTTTTTCGAAGTTGAATTTTCTACCTAGCTTTGATTATCATTGGTTATGTATAATCTAGGATTGTGATGGAGAATAGTGTTATTGTTTCTCTACTATGTAAAAGTCTTCAACTCACCATTTAGTTATGTTTATGCCTCGATTAGAACTTTGGACTGAAGAAAGATTGAAAATCATGTTTGGTTTAGTGCTTTTCGAACTGTGGGGGGGAGATTTCAGCGAAACATTGGTTTCATTTAAATACTCGAGTATAATTTCAATGACTAGATTAGCGGGTATAAAGGACTTTCAGAATCCAGTATTGGAGTGTGGGCTAGATGATCTTCCATTTATTAACTTGGTGAAATAATGAGGACAATCCCATTGATAAGAAGTTGGATTGAGTTTTGATAATAGCTCTTAATTAGTGGATTCGGTGTCCAATATTTTTTGCTATTTTTTAGGTAGTAAGAGTATCCGATCATGCACGTTGTTAGCTCCAATTATCGAATCCCAACATCAATCAGTCAAAAAATTCGTCTTTCACCTATTCGAGGTTCAAGCCACATGATGCAAAGGAGTAATATTTCCTCTTCCCTTGATGCTAACTAAGTCGCTTTTTATTGCCACAAACCCTCTCATCATTCTAATGTGGTTGTTTTGCAGGGCTAAAATGCATTTGGACCCTCTCACCATTCTAATGTGTTTGTTTTTGCAGGGCTAAAATGCATTTGGCATGGAACCTCACACGTTTAGCTTCGAAGCAAGCGACGGCTTAAGGATCATTACTTTAATGGCAAAATGAATTTGCCCTTTTTCATTTGCAATGTTGTAATGGCGTCTCACAGAAAGGCATGACAAGTCCCAAAACGATGTTACTCGGGGAAAAAATCCTATGATTGCTAATGAAAACACAGCTACACCCGTTGGACCAGGTGCTGCAGGGGTTCAAGGTGTACATGGAGGTACACCAGATGTACCGGACGACCTTTTTGGATACCACAAGGAAACACTAGCAGAAAACGAGGCATGACCCTCTAGGTCGTAAAAGAATTTGGGACGAATTCTAATAAGGAGGGGAGAATGTTATACCACTGCTAGTGCCTAGGCCGGAACAGACGGACCTACTCCTTCAAATATGCAGCCTTAGTGAGACTCGACTTGGAAAGGACTAAGGAAATCCTAAGAGGAGTTTTGATCTAAGCAAATCCAAATTCCACCGGGAAAATGAGATCGGGGATGAAAAATAGATGGTGGGTTGAGTTGGTCTGTGCCGCGGGTAAAAGATGCATGGTTGATCGAGGTGGGATGCCGCGGGACGTATGCGGGTAAATCGGTGGAGCCAAATGGCTCCCATCGCTCCACGTCGTGGGTTGGTAGGACGAGGGGTTGTCGCTGCTCAACGTCCTAGGTCGGTCGGGCGAGTGGGTTGGAGCGCACCACGTCGCCAGAATTAACGTCGCGTTTTGGATGGTGCGACGTGGCCCTCCGCGAGCCATTCCTTGCCCCCCGACTGCCCCTATAAATAGGACCCCGCACCCTTAGCATTAAGCATTCGAAATTCCTTCCCCTTAGTACGTATACTTGTCTAAAATCGATCCTAGTTTTCTTTCGAGCATAAGTGGATCAGTCCGAGCAATCCTAAGTCTCAGGTTCGATCAAGTCCAGGCAGAAGGATCAGATTTCGTGGAACCTTTTTCTAAGGAAAACCTTTGTTAAACTGTGAGTCTCGGTACAATGCGTTATGTTTATTCTAGAATAGTTCGAAATATCGTTCTATAGTATAGTCATGAGGTTCTCATCATCGTTCTCCAAGTATGATTATATGTTGAACTTGGTTGTCGAATGTTGGCACTATACTTGTGTTGGTATCTGCCTACATGAATGGTAGATACTTGGGTGGTAAGTACTGTGTGATTGGTTATTAGCATTTCTCCGGTTAGAGTCATGCATGGTAATAACCTGTTAAACGCGGTCCTAAGTTTTCTGAAGAAGACGGGCCGAGGTCACACCACGGTAGTATGTGGGTCGCACCCATAGGCCGTGATACACGACGGGGCTCAGTCGTGTATTGAGTTCATGTGGGTGTTCCGCAGAACTCGGGATGTTGGAAGACTACGTGTCTTACATTCCATTAATGCCGGAACATGGATTCGCAAGGCCTTAAATGAAGAGGATTCACGCATGCATATTGTTGATTGTTGAATGCTTTCGTGTATTCATTCTTGTGTGTGATTGTTATTGGGTTTTGGATGGGAACACTAAACCGTTAGAT